CTGTCTGAGATGGAATCTCGTTCTGTCCCCCAGACTGGGCACCACGGAGTGAAGTAGCAGCATCTCAGCTCACTGCAACCTCTGCCTGCCAGGCTCAAGCGATCCTCCCGCCTCAGCCTCCTGAGCATCTGGGAGCACAAGCGTCCCACTGCGTCTGGCTAATTTATTTTGTATATTTTGTAGAGTCGGAGTTTCACCAGGCTGGGCGCCAACTCCTGAGCTCAAGTGATTCGCCGGCCTCAGCCTCCCAAAATACTGGGATTCACAGGCGCCCACCACCACACCCAGCCTAATGTTTTGTATTTTTAGTAGAGCTGGGGGTTTCACCGTGTTGGCCAGGCCCTTAGTCTTGGTGACGATAGTCCTTGTTATGTCTTTTTTTTTTTTTTTTTTTTTTGAGACGGAGTTTCGTTTCGCTCTTGTTACCCAGGCTGGAGTGCAATGGCGCGGTCTCGGCTCACCGCAACCTCCGCCTCCTGGGTTCAGGCAATTCTCCTGCCTCAGCCTCCTGAGTAGCTGGGATTACAGGCACGCGCCACCATGCCCAGCTAATTTTTTTATGTTTTTAGTAGAGACGGGGTTTCACCATGTTGACCAGGTTGGTCTTGATCTCTCGACCTTGTGATACACCCGCCTCGGCCTCCCAAAGTGCTGGGATTACAGGCTTGAGCCACCGCGCCCAGCCTACGTCTTTATTTTTTTTTTAGACAGAGTTTTGCTCTGTTGCCCAGGCTGGAGTGCAATGGCATAATCTCAGCTCACTGCAACCTCTGCCTCTTGGATTCAAGCAATTCTTGTGCCTCAGCCTCCCGAGTAGCTGGGATTACAGGCGTGTGCCACCACGCCCAGCTAATTTTTGTATTTTTAGTGGAGACAGGGTTTTTTATTTTTCTTTTTTTTTGAGACAGAGTTTCGCTCTTGTTGCCCAGGCTGGAGTGCAATGGCACGATCTCGGCTCTCTGTCTGCAGGTCACCACCGACCTCCATCACCAGTGCACCGACAAGCACACAGGGCACCTCGGCCTCAGCCCCGCTGGCGGCAGGCATGATCGCCCTGGCACTGGAGGCCAAGTAGGTGACTGTGGGGCCCTGCCCACCGCCCTCGACCCCCAGGCGCGGCCCCCGGCTCACCAGCCCCCAACACCCCCAGCCCGTTCCTGACGTGGAGGGACCTGCAGCATCTCGTGGTCCGCGCGTCCAAGCCGGCGCACCTGCAGGCTGAGGACTGGAGGACTAATGGCGTGGGGCGCCAAGGTGCGGCGGGGCTGGGCGGGGGCGGGAACCCCAGGCCCGCGGGGCGAGTGACGGCCGCCCTCCTGTGCAGTGAGCCATCACTACGGCTATGGGCTGCTGGACGCTGGCCTGCTGGTGGACACCGCCCGCACCTGGCTGGCCACCCCACCGCAGATGAAGTGCACCGTCCGGGTCCAGAACAGCCCCATGTGAGCCCCCGCCTGCCCCCCATGCCCTGTCAGTAACCGCCGCCATCGCTGCTGGGGGTGTGAGGGGAGGCCTGAGGCCTCAGTTTACCCATCTGTAAAATCAAGGCTGCATCCCATGACCTCTTGGGCCCTGACCCGCCTGCCGGCTGCCCACCCCTCAAGCAGCCACAGCAGGGTCCTCACCCCCCGCTGCCCCCAGCCCTATCCTGCCGGTGGTGTACATCAGGAAGAACATGTCGGCCTGCGCGGGCCGCCACAACGCCATCCGCTCGCTGGAGCACGTGCAGGTGCAGCTGACGCTGTCGTACAGCCGTCGCGGGGACCTGGAGATCTGGCTCACCAGCCCCATGGGCACACGCTCCACGCTGGTGGCCATACGGTGAGCGGCCCGCAGAAGGGAAGGGCGGCCTCACGCCCTGTGGGTACGTGCTGCCATCTTGCCCCGGCGTCCTCATGGCGAGGGGCCAGGCCCACAGGAATCACGCGGCAGCCTAGGGGGTCGGACCTCCACCCTAGGGTCCTCTGGGTGTGGGTACGCCCCTGCCCACACCCAGAGGACACCGCCAGCAGCGCTTGAGGCCAGACGCTGGATGGGCTCTGCGGGCTTCACAAAGCCATTCCTCCTGACACGCCCACCCCCGCCTGCCCGTCTGTCCCAGACCCCTGGACGTCAGCGCTGAAGGCTACAACGACTGGGTGTTCATGTCCACCCACTTCTGGGATGAGAACCCGCAGGGCGTGTGGACACTGGGCCTGGAGAACAAGGGTTACTATTTCAACACGGGTGAGGGCGGGGTGGGGCTGTGGGGAGCGGGGCTCGGCTCTCCGACCTGCCCCCGGGGCTCTGGTGCTAGCCTTGGTGACCCCACTGAAAAACAAGTTCCCAGTGGTCTTCTCCAAGGGAACATTCACACAGTAGGTGTGCAGTCACCTGGGAGATGTCAATGTGCAGTGACAGGCACGCAGTAGGTGTGGAGTAACCCGGGAGATGTCAATGTGCAGTGACGGGCACATAGTAGGTGTGCAGTCACCTGGGAGATGTCGGTGTGCAGTGACAGGTGCACAGTAGGTGTGCAGTGACAGGCATGCAGTAGGTGTGGAGTCACCTGGGAGATGTCAGTGTGCGGCAACAGGCGCACAGTAGGTGTGGAGTCACCCAGGAGATGTCAATGTGGAGTGACAGGCAGGTGTGCAGTCACCTGGGAGATGTCGGTGTGCAGTGACAGGTGCGCAGTAGGTGTGGAGTCACCCGGGAGATGTTGGTGTGTGGTGACGGACACGCAGTAGGTGTGGAGTCACCCAGGAGATGTCAATGTGGAGTGACAGGTGCACAGTAGGTGTGCAGTGATGGATGCACAGTAGGTGTGGAGCGACCTGGGAGATGTCCATGTCCGGGGACAGGCGCACAGTAGGTGTGCAATTCCCTGGGAGACATGGAGCAGTCTGGGGCCCTGGGTCGGGAGCTGCAGGGAAGGGATCCCAGGGACAGCCAGGTCCAGGCTGCCAAGAGCCTCCTCCTCCTCCTGTGCCCACCTGTGACCCCCGCCCAGGGACGCTGTACCGCTACACGCTGCTGCTCTACGGGACGGCGGAGGACATGACAGCCAGGCCTCCAGGCCCCCAGGTGACCAGCAGCTTGTGTGTGCGGCGGGACACGGAGGGGCTGTGCCAGGGTGAGTGCCGGCACGGCAGGGCCCACGGCTGGGAGGTGGCGGCGGCCACCGCGGGCACCGTGCCTGTGGCCCCAGGAGGGCGGATGGTGGGCAGCAGGCCTTGGGTGGCGAGCTCACGGCTTACGTCCATATCCCCGAGCAGCATGTGGTGACCCCACCTACATCCTGGGACAGCTCTGTCTGGCCTCCTGCCCCCCGCGCTTCTTCAACCACACAAGGCTGGTGACCGCCAGGCCTGGTCACCCTGCAACGCCTGCGCTGAGGGTCTGTTCCAGCTGCCACGCCTCCTGCTACACCTGCCGTGGCAGCTCCCTGAGGGACTGCACCTCCTGTCCCCCGTCTTACACGCTGGACCAGCAGCAGGGCTCCTGCTTTGGGGCCCACCACCCCTGACAGCCACCGCCAGCTTAGAGCTGCCGCCTGCCCCTACCACTGCTGCTCAGCCTTGGCCATGGTGCTGGGCCTCCTGGCCGTGACCCTCGGGGGCCCCGTCCTCTGCGGCGTGTCCACGGACTGCCCACCATAGGCCTGGCTCGTGCCAGGGCCAACCCCACCAACCCCCAGGTCTGGCTGCCAGCTGGAATCGGAGGTTATCAGCTCAGAAAGTGACATTTCCCTGGCCTGGGTCCCTGGCAGGCACTGCTGTCCTGCCGCCTCCACAGGCTGGCCCCAGAGGAGCAAGCGCCAGCCCCCGACGCCCGGCTTGCCAGGAACCCCGCAGGCTGTGGGGAAGAGAGAGAGAAGTCTCCTCTGCCTTTTGGGTTTGGGTGGGAGCGGGCTAGGGCAGAGGCTGGACCGGGATCACTGTCCTTTCCGAGTCCCAGAAGCCACGGGAAAGTGGAGGGACAGGAACTGGACGCCGTCCGTCTCAGGCCCGTGTCCAACCTCAGAGTTTGCAAATAAAGGTTGCATCGAAGGTGCTCAGTCGGTGGCCTCTTCTGGAGCAGGGCGGGCCCCAGGGCTCGGGTGGTTTCTGCTCGGGGTCCCCGGACGTCAGCCCATGGAGAATGCAGCCGGCCATGGAGAAGGAGTCCGCCCAGGCCCAGGGACCCCAGGCAGTGGGAGCAGTGGGGAGTGGCCACGGGTCGGCAGTAGCATCCAAGCCCAGAACGTGGGTCTCCATGGCCCAGACTCCTCTCCCCACATGGTAGCTTCCATTTTTGTTTGTTTGAGACAGGGTCTCCCTACGGTGACCAGGGGTGTGACTGTAGCTCACTGCAGCCCTGGACTCTGGCCTCAAGCAGTCTTCCCTCCCTGGCCCCTCAAAGGGCTGGAGCACCGGTCCTTCCCTCCCTCCAGCCCTGCCTGTCTTCCTTCTTTCCCTCCCTCCCTTTCCCTTTCTTCCTTTCCTTTTTTTCTTTCTCTTTCTCCTTCCTTCTTTCCTGTCTTCATTTCTTTCCTTTCTGCCTTTCTCTTTCTCCTTCCTTCCTTTCCTTCCTTCCCTCCCTCCATTCCTTCTCTCAACAATTTCTTTGACTTCAAACGAGTTAAGCTCTGTCTGTGGGAGCCACTGCTGGTCCAGAACATTTTTCTTTCTTTTCTTTTTTTTTTTAAATCAGCCCCACAGAAACAGGACCTCAAAAAATTGGATTAAGACTTAGAATTGAGGCCGGGCGCGGTGGCTCAAGCCTGTAATCCCAGCACTTTGGGAGGCCGAGGCAGGTGGATCATGAGGTCATGAGATCGAGACCATCTTGGTCAACATGGTGAAACCCCGTCTCTACTAAATATACAAAAAATTAGCTGGGCATGGCGGCGCGTGCCTGTAATCCCAGCTACTCAGGAGGCTGAGGCAGGAGAATTGCCTGAACCCAGGAGGTGGAGGTTGCAGTGAGCCGAGATTGTGCGGTGCGCCGAGATCGTGCCATTGCACTCCAGCCTGGGTAACAAGGGCAAAACTCCGTCTCAGAAAAAAAAAAAAAAAGACTTAGAATTGTTCCTCTCCACGGAAATCTTTAGTAAAAGGCGAAAGTTTATATGATTTGAAGAGGAACCAGATTATTGGTCCAGAACATTTTTATTTTCATTTATCTTAAATCATACAGACAAAGTTCTCACTATGTTGCCCAGGCTGGTCTCAAATTCCTGAGCTCAATCAGTCCCCCTCACCCCACCCGCCACAGTGTGACCCCGTTTCTATGAAATGTCCAGGACAGGCCAGTCCACCAAGATGGGAAGGGAATGTGTGGGTGCCAGGGGCTGGGACGGGAGGAGGTGGGGAGTGATGGTTGATGGGGGCTCTGGAATCAGAGGTGATGGTTGCACTACCCTGTAAATACACCACAAAAAGACCCCTAAACTATTGAACCTGCACTTTGTTCTTTTTTGTCTCGCCCTGTTGCCCAGGTTGGAGTGCAGTGGTGCAATCTCAGCTCACTGCAACCTCCACCTCCCAGGTTAAAGCGATTCTCCTGCTTCGCCCCGCGAGTAGCTGGGACTGCAGGTGTGCCCCACCACACTCGGCTAAGTTTTGTATTTTTAGTTGAGACAGGGTTTCACCATGTTGGCCAGGCTGGTCTCAAACTGGCCTCAAGTGATCTTGTCCACCCGGGCCTCCCAAAGTGCTGGGATTAAAGGCAGGAGCCACTGAGCCTGGGCTGAACGTACAGCAGGTGAACTCAGCCGGGCGCGGTAGGTCACACCTGGAACCCCAGCACTTTGTGAGGCCGAGGTGGGTGGATCATTTGAGATCGGGAGTTCGAGACCAGCGTGACCAACATGAAGAAACCCCGTCTCTACTAAAAATACAAAATTAGCTGGGCATGGTGGCGCCTGGAGGCCTGTGCCACTGGAGCGAGACTCCATCCTTTTTTTTTTTTTTAAAGATGAGGTTTCACCATGATGGCCAGGCTGGTCTTGAACTCCTGACCTCAGGTGATCCACCCACCTCAGCCTCCCAAAGTGCTAGGATGACAGGCGTGAGCCACCGCGCCCGGGCTGAGACTCCGTCTTTAAACAAAACAAAACAGGCGAACTTTATAAATTGCATCTCAATAAAGCTCTTGAAATACAGGAAAAGCGCTTTCTGCTGTTTCTGCCTTGCCAGGCTTCAGGGTAGGAGAGGAGTGACCTCCAGCACCCGCCCCCGAGGTGAGAGGGCCCTCCTCGACCGGCGGCAGAGGCGCTGCGGCCGCCCGTCCTGTGTCCCAGCGGCCTCGGTGACGATTCCTGCAGCCCTCGCCGCCGAGGGGTCTTGCACCACCAGGCCCCTTTAGGTGGACAGTGGCTTTGTCCTCCCGACAGCATGTGGGCTGCATATCCGCCTTTTCAGAAAGACGAGCCTCAGATGCTTTTCAACTCAGCCAGTGGAGCCTGGTCTCGAACTTGCTCTCATCCCCCGCGCGTCCAGGTTGGGATCCGATTTTCAAGGACACGGTCCCTTTAAGAAGGGGCGGGGCCTCGCGAGAAGCGGAGGGGGCCGGCGCGAGAGGAGGCCGGAAGCGCGCCTCCAGCGTTCGGGGACGGAGCGGTTCTCCGACCGGAAGCGGAAGTGGCTGCCTCGCTGACGCTGGGATCCCGGCTGCTGCGTCCAGGTGAGGACAGGACGGCGGCTGGGCTGACCGCTGGGAAACTGAGTCAGAGGTTGAGCCAGACCCCAAAGCCTTGGCCACCGTATTGTTGGGCGGAGGGAGGGTCAGGGCCTGGGGCGAGGCCGGAGGGGCGGGACAGGGCGGGCTTCCCCAGGAGCGGGACCGCGGCGGGTGTGTAGGAGTTCGCTGGGCGGGAGGAGGGGTCCGGGCAATGGCGGAGAGGTGGACGCCCCGGTCACGCTCCCTTCCTCGCCTGCAGAGATGGGCTCCAAGGCCAAGAAGCGCGTGCTGCTGCCCACCCGCCCAGCGCCCCCCACGGTGGAGCAGATCCTGGAGGACGTGCGGGGGGCGCCGGCAGAGGACCCCGTGTTCACCGCCCTGGCCCCGGAAGGTAGGGGAGCCCGGTCCCGGGAAACGGCAGACTTGAGACCTCGGCAGCAACGGGGAAGGGAGAGAGGCCCTAATTCCTGGCCCTCCACGCCCTGGGCACCCCGGTGACGTGGGCACGGGCCTCGTCCTCTCCGAGCTCCCCTCTCCTCCTCTATAGAGCGGGGCCCATTTTCAGAGGGTCCTTCAGACAGGGAGGAGGCCGGGCGCAGTGGCTGAGGCCTGTAAGCCCAGCGCTTTGAGAGGACGAGGCGGGAGGATCGCTTGAGCCCAGGAGTTCGAGACCAGCCTGGCCAACATGGTGAAACCCCCGTCTCTACAAAAAATGCAATAAAGAAAAAACAAACATTAGCTGGGCATGGTGGCAGACGCCTGTAATCCCGGATACGCGGGAGACTGAGGCAGGAGAATAGCTTGAACCCAGGAGGCAGAGGTTGCGGTGAGCCAGGATCGCGCCACTGCACTCCAGCCTGGGCAACGGTGCAAGACTCCGTCTCAGAAACAGAAAAAAAAAAAAAAAAAAAAAAAAGGCCTGGCGTGGTGGCTCACACCTGTAATCCCTGAATTTTGGAAGGCTGAGGAGGGTGGATCACTTGAGGTCAGGAGTTTGATGTCGGCCTGGCCAACATGGTGGAACCGTCTCTAATGAAAATACAATTAGCTGGGAGTGGTGGCAGGTGCTGTAATCCCAGCCACTCGGGGCTGAGGCTGGAGAAGCACTTGAACCCGGTAGGGGGAGGTTGCAGTGAGCCGAGATTGTGCCACTGCAGTCCAGCCTGGTGACAGAGTGAGACTCCGTTTCAAAATGAATGAATGAATGAATGTAAACAGGGGTGGTAAGGTAGGGCGGCGGACAGACCCTGCCACTGCCTGTTTTCGTAAGGCCCGGGAGCCGCGAGTGGACTTCTCATTTGTAAACGGGGGCAGGTGAAAAAGAACATTTCTGACACCTGAGAGGGGTATGAAACTCAGGTGTGGTGGCTCACGTCTGGAATTCCAGCTCTTTGGGAGGTCGAGGTGGGCGATCACAAGGTCAGGAGTTCAAGATCAGCGTGACCCACATAGTGAAACCCCGTCTCTAAAAAGGAAGAAAAAAAAAGAGTCGTGGATGATAGAAACTGTGAATTTCTATGGAAACATTTTTAAGTTTATGCTAGAAAATTCTGGGGCCACGTGCAGTGGCTCATGCTTGTAATCCTAGCACTTTGGGAGGCTGAGGCAGGAGGATTGCTTGAGACCAGGAGTTCACAAACGGCCCGGGCAACATGGTGAAACCTGTCTCTACCAGAGATACACAAACTAGCTGGGTGTGGTGGCATGCACTCTGGTCTTAGCTACTCAGGAGGCTGAGTCGGGAGGATTGCTTGTACCCAGGAGTTGGAAGCTGTGGCCTGAGTGACAGAGGGAGACCCTGTCTCTAAAAAAGAAAGAAGGAAAGAATATCAGTTGGTCTTTCTATTCAGGCATATTTTAAATGCCCAGGAGCTGCTTGTGGCCAGCACAGGTGAGAGGTGTGTGTTTCATCTGGAAGGTTCTGTCGGCCAGTACCGGTCAGGGAGCATGAGTTGGGTTTATTCCCAGCATGCAGTTGGGTGGTCTGAGGGTGCTGGAGCCATGGTTTCAGCATCTTGGGCCCAGGGCCATGGCTGTTCGGAGAAACTGAGGCACTGCTGTGCAGGGGCTCACAGAAGGTAGAGGGGCCTCTCGGCTGGCCTGCCTTCATCCGTGAGTGCTGCCGGGCCTTTCCTGCCCTGTTCCTAAAGCAGGAGGTGACAGAGGTGATTCCATCGGCCCCAGCCTTCGTGGCACTTATAGCCTTGGCCAGTGGGAGGCCAAGGGCTGGGCCAGAGCCGAGCGGACCCTGTCGCCTCTCCGCATGACCCTGAGTCTGTGCTGCTTCCACCCCGCTGCAGGAGGCTTGCACGCTCTGGGGAGCGGGACGCCTCCCGTGGTTTCCCCTGTGTGTGAGAGTCAGCAGGGAGCGGGTGCCCTGCCTTCATCTTCGCCGGCCCCGCCTCCCCAGGTGTGGGTTCCGTGAGGCTGCTGGCCCTGGAGAGGTTTTCGGAGTGGAACACCACCCACAGGAGGGCCACCGCTGGCCAGGCTTGAGCTCTGTGACCTGACCCCCTGGTCACATGCTTTGCTAAGGTGAGGGGCCTCCAGCTGGAAGCCCGGGCGGCCCTATCAGACCCCGGCTCCCACTGCCACCCAGCTGCTGTGCCTGTCCCAGCTCACGGGCCAGGAAGCTGCGGTTATTTGGGTTTTATTTATTTACGTATTTTGAGACAAGCTCTCGTTGTCACCCAGGCTGGGGTGCGTGGCACGGTCATAGCTCACTGCGGCCTCAGCCTCCCAGGCTCACGTGATCCTCCCGCCTCTGTGCCTCCAGAGAAGTTGGGATTCTAGGTGTGCACCACCATGCCCGGTTAGTTTTTGTATTTTTGTATTTTTTGGTAGAGATGGGGTCTCACTATGTTGCCCAGGTTGGTATCTAACTTCTGGGCTCAAGTGATCAGCCTCCACCTCCCAAAGTGCTGGGATTATAAGCGAGGGCCACCACACCTGGCCACTTCCGTCTTTTGAAAGACTCCGGCCAGCGGCTCGCTCTGGGAATGCGGGGACCCATGTCCTTTGGGGGCCACAGTGAGGCGTACCCAGGCGGCTGCCCTCTGGGGTTCCCTGGTCAGCGGGTAGTGACGCTGCTGTGTCCTGTCCCAGACCCCCCTGTCCCCTTCAGGACGGTGGAGGACACGGAGACCCCGGGGGAGCAGCTGTTCCGGCAGAGCCGGGCCTATGTGGCTGATACCCAGCGGCTCCGGCAGGCGGGCGACGCGCTGAGGCAGAGGTGCGAGCAGCTGCGGCGGGCCGGCGAGGACCTGGAGCGGGAGGTCGTCCAGATGAAGCAGGCGGCAGTGCCGGGTGCCCAGGCTGCCTCTTGAGACTGACGTGTCGGGTCCCGCAGGCCTGGGCAGTGCACGAGGTGGCCCCGCCCAGGCTTTCCCTGTGGGTCCATCAGCCCCAGACCGGCGTTCACTGGGACCCAGCTGGCGTGGGCAGCTGACACGGGTCCCCTCCGGACGCTGTGGCTGCAGTTCATCTGTCGTCCCATTCATGCCCAGTTGGTGGGACCCACCCAGCTGGCTGTGACCTGAGGGCCCAGTGGGGTTCCGGACAGGATGGTGACGTCCTGCCTTCAGCGTGCAGTGGCCGTGACCTTAGGTGGGGCCTCTGGGAGTAGGCCCCTCTTCCTTCCTCCCCAGGGCGGGCACTCGCCTGTCCACTTCTGAGTCCGGTGTCGGGGCCAGGGTGTTAACCGTGATTCCGTCCAGCGAGTGCCCACTCAGTGTCAGAGCAGCCCGAGTGACCAGCCCGATGTCACTTCCCAGTTCTGGGCTCAGCCACGTGTCACGTCAGTCTTCACAACCACCCTGGGCTGCTGGGGTCACCCGGAGCAGCAGCGCTGAGGCCTGGCCGGGCTCCCCGGCTCCCCGGGCCTGCTGGCCCCCAGGCCCTGCTGTTGCTGGGGCGGCCCAGTCACCGGCCAGGAGCCCAGGGAGTCCTGGGCCTCACAGCCACCCTGGCGGCCGGAGCAGGTCCTGGCCCTCCCAGGGGAAGGGGCGCTAGGGTGGCAGAGGGTCTTGCCCAAGGGCTTTTCATCCTGTGTGTCAACTGGAGTGGAAGTCTGGACAGGTGCCTGGAGGCCGGCCCTGCAAATAGCCGCCTTCCTGTGGGTGGTGTCTGAATGGCGCCTCTGTGAGGGGCTCCATCCTGGGGCCCTGGAAGCTGGAGGGACGCGAGCCGGTGACCCCAGGAACACTGCCCAGTGCAGCCCGGTGCTGTGTGCAGGGCCCGTCCGCTGGACCCAGAGACCTGGGGCTGCCTGGGCCTCTCCAGACCCACAGCCAGCTTTGTTTCTGGAACATAGAGGATGTTTCTTGTTCCCTAGAGGAAGGGACCGTGCCACACACAGCCTGGGAGGCGCCCAACCCAGCCCGGACCCCAGCGGCTTCTCACTGGTCCCTCCTGTGAGCTGCTCACCTGGCCAGGGGAGGTCCCGGCGGGTTCCCGGGGTGGAAGGTGGGCAGGGGAGCGGCTCCTGTCAGCCCTTCCTGCCTTGCAGCCTGTGCTGCTGCCAGTCAAAACCTTCCTTGTCCCCACTGGGCCAGGGCTGTGCCCCCTGAAAGTGGCTTTGACATGGGGCCGTCCCTCTCCCAGCTCTTGAAGCTGCCGCCCCACACTGGGCCCTGCCGTAGTGACTGCCCAGGTAATGGACCTGGGTGGGACCGCCTGGCTGGGGTGTGTGCACCCCCGGAGCCCACCCTCCCTCGGGACCAGGGGGAGACTCCTGGCCTCACCCAGTGCCTCCCCTGCCCATCTGGGGGTGCCCCCAAGTAAACCCTGTGCTCACAGGTTCGGCTTTCTGCCTCTGCTTCCAGGGACCTGACCCGGGGTGGGGTCTTCTCAGGGATTCTGGGGCAGCACATAGACCGTGAAGAACCCGCCCGCCCCGCCCCGCCCCCCCCGCCCCCCCCCCCAGCCTGCAGCCCGTTAGAGGAGCAGCAGTGTCGGCGACAGGCAATTCAACAGCTCAGTTTATTAAAGGTGTGTGTGCAGGAGTCAGACAGCTGACGGGGTGTCATCCTTACGCTGGACAGATGGCTTTACATTTAGGGGAGGACAGGCTGTCACTATTTACACGTGTATTTAACACTGCAGAGACCCGGTATAGAAACATGGGGCGGCGGCTAGGGGACTCTGAGACAGACCAGGCGCGTCGTGGGGGCTGGGCTGGGGCAACAGCTGGGGCGGGGTGAGGTAATGCTGTCAGAGCTCGGGCGGCCCATGCTGGGGGGCACGTGTCCCGAGTTCAGCACCCACTTGTGGCGGTGTTGGGGGGCCGGTGGTGGTCACTGTCATCCTCAGGATGCCTCCACCCTCCCTGCATCCTGGCCCCGCAGCCTGACACCCTCCATTTCTTAGGACTGGCCCCAGAGTGTTGGGGGGCAGATGGACCCCTTGTCACCCTGGTGCAGGGAAGCCGGGTGGCAGGCAGGGGCCGCAATGGAATGGAAGCCTTGAGGTGGGCATCATTTGGGTCCTGCTCCCACCTGGACCTGATTGTCCAGAGACCGCTGGCTGCCTGTCCCCTCCTGGAGACAGCCAAGACCAGGCCTTGAGGTGGCTGTGGCCTCGGAGGCAGGGGATGCAGAAGGCAGAAGTGAGCTCAGGACTTGGGGTGAGGGTGGGAGACAGGGCCAGCAGCCATGCTGCGCACCCTGCTGCCGGGCAAGGTGGGTCTTGTCCTCTGGCTCAGCCTTGGAGGAAGTAGGTGCCCGGGGCTGGTCAGAGGGGAGGCAGCACCGGCAGGGTCCAGCCAGACTCAAGTTCTGTGAGCACCAGGCGGCTCCCCTATCATCGCCGCCACCATGCCTGTCCAAGAGGTAGCTCTGGGAGTTCCCCACGGCCCACTTGGGGAAACAGGCACGCAGCCGGGAGAGCACCACCCAGGGTCTCACAGTGCGTGGGAGGGCCGTGCCGCACCTCGTCCCTGCACAACCTGGCCCTGCCACCAGCGACCTGGTGTTGTCTGCAGTTTCCCTACCCTCTGGCCATGTGGGACGAGGCCCACTGGGGTGAAGGTGAGCACGTTTGGCATCCCCAACTCCAAAAGCTCGGAAGAGACCACCAGGGTCCCCCTAAAGCCATGGATGGGGACAGCAAGTTAGATCCCCCCCACCTCCCATGTCCTGAAGAGGGGGTGGGAGGTCGCCCCACTCAGCCTGCATTCTCTCCGCTTTCTGTTCCGGCACCTGCGGCCTCCTCTTCGCCCAGAACGCGACAGGCGCAGCCTCGCCTGCCGCGGCGTTTTAGGGGGAGTGTTTGGCACCTCTAGCACCTGCCTGGTGGTGCCCACTCGGTGACTTAGGCAGGGCGCGGGCCCAGAGCACAGGATGCAGCGTGACAGAGAAGGAGCAGCGTTAACTGGGGTTACAGGCTAGGGTCCACTTCACTCAGCAGCCGTGAGTTGAGGACAGCTCCTCCTGCCAGAAAGCTGGCCCCGTGCATGCTGGGAACGGGTTCGGAGGGATGGTGGTATCCGTGACCGGGCCGGGGTTTCCATCTGCCCAACCCTCAAACTCTGCTTCCCTCCTCCCGGAGAAGGCCCGTGGGGCAGTGAGCGTGTGCCCTCGGCCCGGGCAGATCCGCGCGTGAAGGCAGCGCCTGCCCGAGCTGGGATTCTGCAGAAGAGAGGTCGTTGGCTCCCTCTGCAGGACGAGGCGTCGCCCCAGTCCCAGAGTCCCGCCCCATGCACAAGGCCCAGCTCCAGGCTCCACTGCCAGGGGCCGAAGCACCTGAGCCCCCAGGCCCCTCTGCCAGCTTTCGTCTCATTTGGCACCAGATACTCTCCAGCCAGGTGTTCGCCTGCGGGGAGGCCCCCGGACCTCCCTCCTCGTCCCAGAGTCCCGGTGCCCCCGCCCCAGCTGTGCTGTCCCGAGTCCTAGGGCGTACGATTTACGCATCAAGAGCCGCAAGGGAACAGAAAGCGGACAACGTCAGCAACGGCGCAGTCCTGGGCACTGACCGCGCCCACACGTGGTGGTCTCCGTAAAGTGCAGTCTCCGCTGGGTAGAGTCCAGCGCGGGCGCCGAGCCCAAGGCCTCAGTCTCCTTCCCATTGGTCTCGCCCGCGGCGGCTGGGCTAGGTCGGGACGATCTGACCCCAGCGACCCCTGGGGTCGCCCCAGCTGGCATCCAGCATCCCCTCTGGGGTCTAAATGTCAGCCGTCCCGCCGTCCGCACCAGGGTCCTCTCCCATCGTGCGCAGCCCCCTGCCTTCCAGTCTTCCGCCAGGGAGTGCGGCAGGCATGGGGATCTGTTGGCCCCTGCCCTTCCCACCCCCACCCTCTCGGCTCCACGGGGGAGCTGTCAGGGTTCCCTGAACACCGTCTGGGCGGGGCTTCCCGCCGGGGCTCGGCCACACCCCCACCCCGCACTCCGGCAGCTGGGGCTGAAGATGAAAACAAACCCTGCAAAGCCCTCATTAGCGAATTAGCCGCGGCTGCCGCGATTACAGGCTTCGCCCCTGCGCGCCGTGGAGGCCCCCAGCTGGCAGGCGCCGCCCTCTACCAGCCTCGCCCCACCTGCGGCGGGCGCCGGCACCTTCCCAGTGCTACCCCTTCGGAAGCAGCGGACCGGGACCCAGACCCGGAGGCCGCCCCTCCCTCGCCCGGGGTCAGGCGACGGCTCCCGACAGGGGAAGGGCCGCGCGCTCAGAGCTGGGCCAGGACGCCCGTGCCAGCGCCTCACGGCCGGGACTTCGACCCCACGGCACAGAGGCAAGGTCTTCCGGTGAGGCGCGAAGCCCCCATGGGCTGGGCGTGGGCTCAGAGGGTGGTGGGGCTCGGCTGGGCAGAGGCCCTGGGGCGACCTACGGGGGGCATCTACGGCGCAGGCCCATGGGGCAGCCAGACCCGGACGCAGGGCCGGGAGAGAACGTTCCAGAAAGCCGGCCTAGGCCACTATTCCAGGAGGCTGGCCGAGGCGGTGGCCGGGGCTTTCTCCGCGGCTGAGTCGGTGGTGGCTGCAGCCACCATGGGGCTGGGCACATAATTGAAGGGGGGTACTCGGGCCGAGCGGCTGGGGGAGCCGTGCCGACTGGCGGGGAAGCCCCCTACGGCAACCCCCAGGCCCTCGTGCACGAGGGGTGCGGAGATGGGAGCCTTGGCGAGGCTTGGCCCGTCCACGTCGCTGCCGAGGAGGGGGAGCGGGGCGCCGGCGGGGACTCCGGGGTGCTCCCTGCTCTCCAGGCTCGGGGACGTGCTGGAGTTGGTCTTGGGGGCGGCGACCTCCTCTGTCTGGACGACGGCGTCGCTGGTCTTGCGCGGCGGGGGCGCAGCCGGGGCGTCCTCGGGCGTGGAGCTTCGCAGGGGCAGGGCGGTGGCCGGCAGCGTGCTGCGAAGGATGTGGGGCACGTCCTCGTCTCGGATGCGCCGCCACGTCGTGCCTGGCGCGGCCACTCTGGGGAGCGGCCGGGGCTCCCCGTCGCTGCTGCGGCGCGCGGCGTCGGCGGGGGCGGGGGCGGCGGCGGCGGCGGCGGGGGCCGCGCTGTCGGGCCTGCGGGCCACGCTGATGTGCGGCAGCGACGCGTAGCGCTTGACCGTCTCGGGCCGGGCGGCGGGCGCGCGCACGGGCAGGCGGGACGGGCTCTCCGAGCTGGTGCGCCGGGCGGGGCGCTCGCCGGGGCCGGGTCGGGTCACGGGGGGCCGCTGCGGGGCCGCGGCCTGCCGGGGCGCCGTTCGGAGCTCTTCGCATCGCGAGGAGCAGAGGAAGACGGCGGGCAGCGCGGGTCGGCCGCGGCGGGGCGAGGCGCCCTGGGGTGCAGAGGCCGCGGACTCGGCCGAGGACAGCTCCGAGCGGCGGCGCCGCAAGCCGGGCGACTCCTTGATGAAGGTCAGTTGTCGCCGGAAGCCGGAGCGGTCGGAGGACTCGCTGCCGCTGGAGAGGGCCGAGGCCACGCGCACGAGGCCCAGGCGGCCCCCGCGCGTCCCCGGGCCCGCCTCGGCCCCCGCCCGGCCCCTGGGGCCCGGCTCCGGGACTGCGCGAGCCAGCGCTGGCGGCCCCCGCCGGGCTGGCCTCTGCATGAACGGGATCCGCACGGGCGACCTCTGTGTCTTGTGCTGCTTCGCCAACAGGGTGCGTGCCGGCGTCTTGGGCACTGGGGAGGTCCCGGGGCCGGGTACAGGCCCGGCAGCCTGGGTGACTTGGGGGCGCTTTCTGGGCAGGGGCTGGGAGGCGGGCGAGGTCTGGGAGGAGCTGGAGGAGGGGGTCTTGGCGAGGCGGGCGGGTGGTGTGGCGCTCCTGGGCGGTTGGCTCAGCGTCGCCAGCTCCGAGGTCTTGCCGGGCCGGTGTAGGCTCCTTGACCGCTGCTGTCCGGGGCTGGGGACTTTGGCTGGAGCCGCGGGCTGTGCCAGGCAAGGCGGCGCCACCTTCCGCGGTGTGGTGCGGGGGCCGGGGGTCCCTTTGGGCTGGGCCCGGGGTGCTGGGCTGGGCACATAGATGACTGTTCGTCCCCGGAGCACAGCGGGCACCCCGGGCGTGGTCTTCTGTGTGCCACGTGGCTTCTCGGGGCCCGCAGAGGAACGGGAGCTCCCGCTAGTCTTGGCTGAGGCTGTGCCCCGTTTCTCTGGCCGCCGGGTATTGCCGGTTTCGCCCCCCGCCTGTCGTCCCTTCCTGTGCTTGGAGGGCTGCAGGGTGGAGCCCACCGACAGCCCAGATACGAAGGACAGGATAGAGTCAGACTCAGACGAGGCCTCGCGCGTGGCAGCCGCCGCCTGGTGCAGCCACGTGACGATGGAGTTGGCGCCCTCCTGGATGGCTCGCCACTCCACGCTGTCCAGGTCTGAGGCCCGGTCCGAGCCCGCTGCCTCCTCGCCGCGCTCCTGGGATCCCTCTGCGGGCCGCTCATCCAGCCGCGTGGTGCGGGGCTTGCGGCGCCGCAGGGCGGACACGGGAGGCCGGCGTCTGGGCAGGGCCGAGCTGATGCAGTGCTGCAGCAGCTCCTCCGCGGCCCGAGGGCTAGGCGAGCTGTCAAGGCTGCCTCCCGGGCCCGGGTCCTTGGTGATCGAAGGCTCCCTGTCTCGTGGCCGGCCGGCCGGCGGCGCCGATGTCTCCGGGGGCTCGGGCTCACTGAGGGAGCTGGCCGAGGAGCTCAGGGAGTAGCAGGGCGGGGTCTCGTCTGCGATGAGGCTGGGCTGGGCCCGGGCGGGCGGCAGGGCAGACGGTGCTGCCTTGGACGGGGCGTGGGCCTCCCGACCGTGCGGGCGCTCCCGCGTGAGCGCGCGGGGAATGGCCGATGCGCGCCGGTGAATGGGCGTTGGTGCGGCCGCCGGGGGCTCCTCGTCGGAGTCATTGCCGTAAAAGCAGTACACGGCCTCCTCCGTGGGCGTCGTGAGGCACAGCGACTGGAGTGCCCCATCCCCGCGGGTCCGGCTGGGCTTTGCGCCGTCCTTGTATGCGGGGGTGCTCGGGGGCCGGCCCAGGGGCAGCTCCAGCCCTGCTCGGTTCTTGCCCGCACCCTGGGCCTGCTCCGCGCTGCGGCCGGCGCCTCCCGCCTTGTGCCGGTGCCCCCCGGGCTGCTTGGCCGAGGTGGGGCGGCTGGTGGGTCTCTGCCTGCCCGCTGGTCCCCCAGGCTGGTCTCTGGGGGGTCCCTGCAGCGTTTCGTCGCTGAGGGAGGCGGCGCTGGAGAAGTTGACCGGCGTGCCCTCCGCGGAGTCGGTGCAGGAGTCGTCCTCCTGGGCCCGGGCCGGGGCCGGAGCGGGCACCAACATGTAGACGGGCACGGGCAGCGCGCGGCGACCTGGCACCAGCGCGGAGGCCACCTTGCGCAGCCGGGCAGGCACGGCGGCCCCCAGGCACTCCCGCAGCAGCTCCAGCTCCTGGTCCGCGGCCCCGCGGGGTCGAGAGCCCGTGGGCGCCGGCCCCTCTTCCCGCCGGCGGTGCCCCGCGAAGTGGAGGCCGGCGCCCCCCGCACCCCCACCGCGTTCCGGGCAGGCCGAGGGCAGCAGCCGCAGCTCCACGTCCTGCTGGACATAGTGCTCGTGCAGGGCCAGTGCGCTGAGGCTGGAGGCGCACGAGAAGTTCTCATCCGGCTTCTCCACGGTGAAGCGCACGCTGCCGGCGTCCAGCTCCGACGGGAGCCGGCAGCGCTCGCGGCAGTCCGCAATGTCCAGGAAGCGCTTCACGTAGCTCTCCCACTGCAGGCTGAACTGGCTGGCCTCGGGGGGACCTGCCGGCGCGGGCGCCAGCGGCGGCGTCTTGCTCCGGCTGGGCGGCATGGTCTGCCCAGGGCTGTCGGGCAGCTCGCTAGGGCTGATGGTGCCGCTGCCCTGCCCGCTGCAGGGGTCACTGGGGATGGAGCTGGCTATGGACGGGCTCTCGAAGCTGCCCAGCGAGCTCACAGAGCTGCAGCGGCTGAGCACCAGTGGCGTCTCCTGCACGTAGTTCTCCGACGAGCTGGACGGCGTGGCGTCCTCCACCCCCAGGCCCCGGCCTCGGTTACGCCGGGGAGCCGGGATGGCTACGGGCAGGGAGGCAGCCCCGGGCGCTGTCCACGCACCGTCCAGCTCAGCCTCGCCGGGGCCTGCCTCCTCCAGTCCCTCCAGGGAGGAGTCAGTGTCGTCCAGGTCACCCCCCTCACTGGGGCCTGGGCGACCTGCCGAGGACAGCGAGGACAGGGAGCTGCATCGGGACAGCGAGAGCGGCGCCTCCTGCGCTACCAGCTTCTGCAGTGCCTTACTGGCAGCGGACAGTGGGGCCGCCGCCAGCTTCTCGGGAACCTTGCTCAGAGGGTCTGCCGGCAGCCAGGCCTGCTTTCGGGCCCCTGGAAGGGTCCCAGTCCCCGTGAGGGGCTCTACACCCGCCCTTGTGGCACCCTCGAGCAGCGGCACGTGCTGGTAGGTGGGCGACAGCTTGATGGTACACACACGGGCGTCGCCGGATGCGGCCTCCCTGGCGGGGGCCTCGGCCTGGCTGCCTGGCAGGTCAAGGTCAAGCCGGCTGGGCCGAGGCTGCCCACACCTGGGGTCCTCGCGGCGCGAAGCCAGTGCGGCCAGCGGGCAGGGCTGCATGTGCTCGCGTGGGCAGTACCCGTCGCTGGCACTGCCGCTGTTGAGGCTGTCGTTGGAGAGGCTGGCGTGGGCCGCTTTGAGCCGCAGCAGCCGGTGTCCCCGGTTGCCTGCGTCCCGCCGCCCGCCCTCGGGACCGCGGCATGGCGAGCAAGACTGGGCACGGCCCTCCCGTGGCGCCTCCTGCCCGGGGTCCCCAGAGCTGAGGCTGAAGCTGTCGTCGGAGGAGGTGTGCAGGGCGGAGATGTCCTCTACCAGCTGGTCGATGCGCGCCACTGCAAGCGCCAGCTTGGCCTTGGCCTTGGCCGCCACGGCCGCCTCCCCACTGGCCTCCTTCTCCGCCTCCGTGCCACCGCGGCGCGTGGGCGGGGTGCGGGCCAGCGCCTGCCCCTGCAGGAAGGGGCTGCCCAGAAAGAGTGACAGTGCTGCGGGGCTGGCCGGCTCCGCAGTGGCCGCAGCCGCAGCTAGGGATGACGGTGCGTCGTCGTCGTCAAAGCAGCCCGAGTCGGAAGCATAGTCTTGAGCCAGGCCGTCCAGGTGCCGCAGGGGTGGCAGCGGCTTCTTAGCAGCAGCGTCGGCGGCGGGCAGGCCCTGCTTCTCCAGGTGCTCCAGCGCCTGCGCCAGGTGCCGCGCGTCCAGTTCGGCCTCCAGCGCCCGCTGCTTGCGCACGTACAGGCTGGGCACGCAGCTGCCCGGGGACACGGCGGTGGCGGCCGCCTGGTGCTTGGCGGGCCGGTGGGCCAGCAGGTTGCGCAGGGCGGCGGCGCTGCCCATGGCGATCATCTTGTGTTTGGAGTGCACCAGGTTCCGCAGCATGCCAACGGCGCCCAGGTCCCACAGCAGCTCCTGGTCACGCGCGCTGCGGGCCGACAGGTTCCAGAGTGTGCCGCACGCGTTGCTCACGATGGTCAGGCTGTGCGAGGTCAGGTGCTGCAGCAGCGTCTGCAGACAGTTGTGATCCCGGAGCACCTGCCTGAGGGCACAGGGCGCGTCAGCCTGGTCCACCCCCTGCCCACCCGGGGGTGGGGAGGCCGGATGTGCCAGGGGAAAGTGAACACGGCTTGTTAGGTTTGGATTTCGGAAAGACTGATTTTAGGTATAAGTGTATCCTAACAATTTGCATGAGACAGACTAAAAATACATTGTATTTATTTTTTGAGATGGCATTAAAAAAAGTCCGGATGGACCGGTTCACACCTGGAATCCCAGCACTTTGGGAGGTCAAGGTGGGTAGATCACCCGAGATCAGGAGTTCAAGACCAGCCTGACCAATGTGGTGAAACTCCACCTCTACTAAAAATAACAAAAATTAGCCGGGCGTGGTGGTTCCTGCCTGTAGTCCCAGCTACTCAGGAGGCTGAGGCAGAAGAATCACTTGAACCCAGGAGTGGAGGCTGCTGTGAGCCGAGATCGAGCCCCTGCACCCTAGCCTGGGTGACAGAGCAAGACTCTGCCTCAAAAAAAAAAAAGTAAAAAAAAAAAAGTAAAAAAACAGCATGAAGAATATATCCTCTGTGATACTGGGGATATAGTTATATGGATTCTGTCTATATCTATTTTTTTGAGACAAGTCTCCCTCTGTCACACAGCCTGGCGTGCAGTGCTGGCCTCCTGGCTAACTGCAGCCTCCACCTCCTTGGCTCAGATGATCCTCCGGCCTCAGCCTCCCAAACTGCTAGGATTACAGGCATGAGCCATGATGACCAGCTAAAAATAATGTTTTGTGTTTTTATAAATATGTACATATTTTTATTTTAATAAATATTACTTCTTTAATGATTTTTTTTTCCCCGAGACGGAGTTTCACTCTTGTTGCCCAGGCTGCAGTGCAATGGTGTGATCTTGACTCACCGTAACCTCTACCTCCCGGGTTCAGGCGATTCTCCTGCCTCAGTCTTCTGAGTAGCTGGGATTACAGGCACGTGCCACCATGCCCGGCTGATTTTTGTTTTTTGTTTGTTTTTGTTATTTTTTAAGACAGAGTCTCGCTCTGTCACCCAGGCTGGAGTGCAGTGGCGCCATCTCAGCTCCCTGCAGCCTCTTCCTCCTGGGTTCAAGCGATTCTCTCACCTCAGCCTCCCAAGTAGCTGGGATTACAGGTGCCACGCCCTGCCCCCACCCCACCTAATTTTTGTATTTTTAGTAGCGACGGGGTTTCTTCATGTTGGCCAGGCTGGTCTTGAACTCCTGACCTCAGGTGACCTGCCCACCTTAGCCTCCCAAAGTGCTGGGATCACAGGCGTGAGCCACCGCGCCCGGCCAATAAGTTAATTTTTAGTAGAAATATAGCCATGCAATATTTGGAATGTACTTTTCAATTAAAAGTATTTTTTAATCCCAGCATTTTGGGAGGCCGCGGCGGGTGGATCACGAGGTCAAGAGATGGAGACCAACCTGGCCAACATAGTGAAACCCCGTCCCTACTAAAATATGAAAATAAGCTCGGCGTGGTGGTGCACGCCTGTAGTCACAGCTACTTAGGAGGCTGAGGCACTGGAATTGCCTGAACCCAGGAGGCGGAGGTTGTGGTGAGCCGAGTTTGCGCCATTGCACTCCAGCCTGGTACCTGGAGACAGAGTGAGACTGTCTGAAAAAACAACAAAAAAATATTTTATTTTCATAAATATTCCTCATTAATAGTAAATATTTTAAGGAAGACAATTATATCAATATGATTTAAAATAAATTTGAGATGGGGTCTCACTCCTGTCACCCAGGCTGGAGTGCATTAGCGCGATCACAGCTCACTAGAGCCTCAACCTCCTGTATCAAGCCATCCTTCCACCTCAGCCTCTCCAGTAGCTGGAACTTCAGGCGCACGCCAAGCCCAGCTAATTTTTTTTTCTTTCCTTTCTTTTTTTTTTTTTTTTGAGATGGAGTTTCGCTCTTGTTACCCAGGCTGAAGTGCAATGGCGCGATCTCGGCTCACCGCAACCTCCGCCTCCTGGGTTCAGGCAATTCTCCTGCCTCAGCCTCCTGAGTAGCTGGGATTACAGGCACGAGCCACCATGCCCAGCTAATTTTTTGTATTTTTAGTAGAGACGGGGTTTCACCATGTTGACCAGGTTGGTCTCGATCTCTCGACCTCGTGATCCACCCACCTCGGCCTCCCAAAGTGCTGGGATTACAGGCTTGAGCCACCGCGCCCGGCCCTCTTTCCTTTCTTGCTTGATTGAGATAGAGTTTCACTCTTGTCGCCCAGGCTGGAGTGCAATGGTGAGATCTCAGCTCACCGGAACCTCCGCCTCCCAGGTTCAAGCGATCCTCCTGCCTCAGCCTCCCGAGTAGCTGGGATTACAGGTATGTGCCACCATGCCCGGCTAATTTTGTATTTTTAATAGAGACAAGTTTCTCCATGTTGGTCAGGCTGGTCTCAAACTCCCAACCTCAGGTCATTCACCTGCCTCAGCCTCCCAAAGTGCTGAGATTACAGGCATGAACCATCGTGCCCAGCTATTTTTTTTGTGGGGGGAGGAGATGGGGCATGGAGTTTCGCTCGTTGGAATGCTATGGTGTGATCGCGGCTTTGTGAAACCTCCACCTCCCAAGTTCCAGTGACTCTCCTGCCTCAGCGTCCCAACTGGCTGGTATTACAGGCGTGAGCCACCGCGCCTGGTGTATTTCTTTCTTTCTTTTTTTTTTTGTTACCCAGGCTGGAGTGCAATGGCGCGATCTCGGCTCACCGCAACCTCCGCCTCCTGGGTTCAGGCAATTCTCCTGCCTCAGCCTCCCGAGTAGCTGGGATTACAGGCACACACCACCATGCCCAGCTAATTTTTGTATTTTTAGTAGAGACGGGGTTTCACCTTGTTGACCAGGATGGTCTCGATCTCCTGACCTCGTGATCCACCCACTTCGGCCTCCCAAAATGCTGGGATTACAGGCGTGAGCCACTGTGCCTGGTGTATATTTCAAGTAGAGACAGGGGTCTCACTATGTTGGCCAGGCTGGTCTCGAACTCTTGGGCTCTGGTGATCCTCCTGCCTCCCAAGGGCTGGCATTCCGGGCGTGAGGCATCCCGGCCAGCCTGAAGTCATTTTTAATGTCATCTGCATTTGGTGGATCTCATGCAGGATTTGGGGCCTAATTATGCTGAAAATAGCAGTCCCTAGGAAGCCTTAGGACCGTCCATTCACAGGAGGACAGTGCCCATCCCAGACCCTCCGCGCCCACCCGCCCGCCCCCAGCGCGGCTGCCTGGGTGGGGGCTAACCTGTAGTCCTCGCGGGTGGCAATTAGGCTGGACACGTTGCGCAGGATGCCACCACCGCTCTCGATGATGGCCAGCGAGTTGCTCTGGCACTTGTAGGTCAGGGTGCTCACCAGGAAGCCCAGGGCACCGTCCACCTGGCAGATGGCCGCCTTGTTCTCCGTGCTGTGCGCAGACAGGTTCCACAGGGCACTGAGCACGCTCTTCAGAGTGGACTCCTGGGCGGGGGCGGGAGGGGCAGATCAGGGCCTGAGTGGGGCGGGAGGAAAGGCTCCCACCGGCTTTACAGTGAGGATTTTTGTTGTTGTTTTTTTTTTTTTTAAAGATGGGGTTTCACCATGTTGGTCAGGCTGGTCTTGAACTCCCGACCTCAGGTGATCGCCCACCTTGGCCTCCCAAGTGCTTGGATTACAGGCGTGAGCCACCATGCCCGGCCTGTTTTATTTTTTATTTTTTGAGATGGACTTCGCTCTCGTTGCCCAGGCTGGAGTGCAGCGGCGGGATCTTGGCTCACCACAACCTCTGCCTCCCGGGTTCAAGTGATTCTCCTGCCTTAGCCTCCTGAGTAGCTGGGATTACAGGCGCACGCCACCACCAGCAGCCATTTTTTTTGTATTTTTTGTAGAGACGGGGGTTTCACCATGTTGAGCAGGGTGGTCTTGAACTCCTGACCTCAGGTGATCCTCCTGCCTTGGCCTCCCAAGGTGCTGGGATTACAGGCGTGAGCCACCGAGCTTGCCCATCATCAGTGAGGTTTTTCTTTGAGATGCAGCCTTGCTCTGTGGCCCAGGCTGGAGTGCAGTGGTGAGATCTCAGCTCACTGCAACCTCAGTCTCCCGGGTTCAAGCGATTCTTCTGCCTCACCCTCCTGAGTAGCTGGGATTACAGGCGCCCGCCACCACGCCTGGCTGATTTTTTTTCTTCTCATAGAGACAGGATTTGACTATGTTGGCCAAACTGGTCTAGAACTCCTGATGTCAAGTGAGCCACCGCGCCCAGCTTACACTCACTCTCAGAGAGCAGTGACACGAAGAGGGAGACGCCGCCCACCTGAGGCTGGACCACCTGCTAAGCAGTGAGTTGTTCAACTTGATTTCCTCCCAAGTCGGAAAGCTCACCCCTTGCCGCCATTGTCTCCCTACCCAGTGACTGAAGAACCGTGGCTGTTCCCCTCCCTCAACCCCTGCTCCCCACCAGGTGCCCACCTTGGTGGCCCGTAGGACACACTGCACCAGGGCGGCCACACTGCCCGCCTCCCTCAGCACCTTCTTGCTGTTGATGTCGGCCCGCCAGGAGAGGTTGCGGAGGATGCTGGACACCACCTGGGCAGGATGAGGGGCAGGTGTGGTGGGACTAGGGTCCAGGCCCCCCCAGACCCCCCAGCAAGTGTCAGGCTGCATAGAGTCGGGCGGGACCCCCCCACCCCCCACCAGTCCATCACACCCTGGGGAGGGGCCCGTGCCCAACAGGGATGCCATGGAAGGCCGTCCAGCGCCCTGTACCTGGTGGAGCTCCTCACTGTCTGAGGCCAGCTGGGCCACGATGGCCTCCATGCAGCCCCGGCGCGCACACAGTGTGGCCTGTGAGGGGGTGACACAGCCAGGGTCACGGGGTGGAGCAAGGAGACCACGCCCCTTACCACCTTCCAGCCCTGTCTGCGTGCTACAGCTGCAAACCTGGAACCCTGCTGGACCTGAGCGCCGCAGGGGAGGGTTAGCCCATGCTCAGGTCAGGAAGCTGAGGCCCCAACCGGGACGGACACATAGCCTCCGGGGCCCAGAGGCCCCCTCTAAGATGAGGCCCGTTTTCTGCAGAGGCAGCAGCAGGGCAGCTGTGAGGACACGGCTGGGTGGAGGAAGTTCAGCACGGGCCCCCACCGCCCCCCCAACCTCACTCTGGGCCTCAGTCTACCTGTCTGTAAGTTAGGGACAATTTGGCCCCAGCTCCCAGGCTGTTTCAAAGCCAGGATGAGCTAGAAGGCGGCTCCGCTTGCCCCCGCAAGCCGGGATGAGGAGCGCACCAGCCGCACCACCCGCTGCCCCAGGTACCTTGTTGGCCACGTCCCCGAAAGTGAGGTTGGTAAGGGTCATGCCCGCGTAGCGGCGCAGCGCCAGGTTCAGCGGGTCCCGGGTCATCTTGTGCATCTCGTAGTCGACCTGCAGCAGCTCCGCCACGGCCTGCAGCCCGCCTGTGGGGACCCAGTGAGGTTGGTAAACGGCGGGGACACCCTGCCTTGCACCCCTGCCCAGACGCCCTTCCTACCCCAGACCTGCCCTCTCAAGTCCCCCTTCCAGGCTTAACTCTGAGCCCTCCTCCAGGAGCTGGTATGGTCTCACCCTGCTGCCAAACCCACCGGGGGTACCCCCGTTGCCCTGTGACTGCCACCCCCGCCTCCTGCAGCCCTCAGCCTGGCTCACACTTCCTCCAGCCGCTGGCCCTCTGCAGCCGCTCCCCCTGCCTGGAATGCTCTTCCCTGCCCTGTGTGATAGGTGCCTTAGGGAAGACCCCTGAGTCCCCCAATAATCCCCGGCAAGACCATCAGATGGAGAGCTGTGTCCCCAGGAGAATCGCTTGACCCAGGAGGCACAGGCTACAGTGAGCCGAGACCGCGCCACTGCACTCCAGCCTGGGCGACAGAGCAAGACTCCATCTTAAAATAAAGGAGCCAACCTCTTGACACAGACTATGACGTGGGTGCCCCTTGAGGACATCACGCTCCGTGGGAGAAGCCAGGTATGAACGAACAAATCCTGGGTAATTCCACCCCTAGGAGGTCTAGAGCCATCAGATTCACGGGGACAGGGTACTGCCAGGCGCTGGGGATAGGATGGGCAGCAAATATTTCACGGGGACAGAGTTTGAATTTGTGAAGACAAAAAGTTACCAGGCACAGTGGCTCACGCCCGTGATCCCAGCACTTTGGGAGGCCAAGGCGGGCAGATCACCTGAGGTCAGGAGTTTGAGACCAGCTGACCAACCTGGCAAAACCCTGTCTCTACTAAAATTACAAAAATTAGCCAGGCATGGTGGTGGGCACCTATAGCTACTCAGGAGGCTGAGGCAGGAGTACCGCTTGAACTTGGGAGGTGGAGGTTGCAGTGAGCCGAGATCACACCATTGCACTCTAGTCTGGGCGACAGAGTGAGACTCTCTCAAAAAAAAAACCAAAAGTTGGCCGGGCGCAGTGGCTCATGCCTGTAATCCTAGCACTTTTGGGAGGCCGAGGTGGGTGGATCACCTGATGTCAGGAGTTCGCGCACAGCCTGGCCAACTTGCTGAAACCCCCATCTCTATAAAAAATTATTTGAAAAAAAGTTACGGCTCTGAAGATTTTTTGTTTTTGAGACAGGGTCTGCCTCTGCTGCCCAGTCTGGAATGTAGTGGCACGATCATAGCTCATGGCACCTTTGACCTCCTGAGCTCAAGAGCTCCTCCCACCTCAGCCTCGTAGCTGGGACTAGTTATTTTATTTTATTTTATTTTATTTTATTTTATTTATTTATTTTTTTTTTTGAGACGGAGTTTCGCTCTTGTTACCCAGGCTGGAGTGCAATGGCGCGATCTCGGCTCACCGCAACCTCCGCCTCCTGGGTTCAGGCAATTCTCCTGTCTCGGCCTCCTGAGTAGCTGGGATTACAGGCACGCACCACCATGCCCAGCTATTTTTTTTTGTATTTTTAGTAGAGACGGGGTTTCACCATGTTGACCAAGATGGTCTCGATCTCTCGACCTTGTGATCCACCCGCCTCGGCCTCCCAAAGTGCTGGGATTACAGGCTTGAGCCACCGCGCCCGGCCTATTTTATTTTTTTTTATAGTGGTGGGGTCTTACTATGTTGCCCAGCCTGGTCTCAAACTCCTGGGCTAAAGTGATCCTCCTGCCTCAGCCTCCCAGAGTGCTGGGATTACAGTTGTGAGCAGCCTTATCCTGCCTCCATTACTGTTATATAGACAAAGAGAAGGTTATGTCCCCAAACATAAAACACCACCCACAGTTCCTATTCTGTGCCTGTCTTGTATCTTTGCTGTTCCCTGTTCTGAGCCCCAGGGAAACTATGGCTGAAAGCCGCCCCCAGAGGCCTTGAACCAAACGGGGAGGCCACAGGCAGCTCATGGGGACGGTGGGCCCAGAATGACGGTCCACTCACAACAGGTGCTCGGTGACTCCAGGGAGTATGTCCCTTAGCAGCTGCGGAGACACCAGGGGGCCTGGAGGGCGGCTCCCCAGAGGGGCAGGGGCACTCACCTAACTCGTTCATGGCACGGCGGTATTCCTCGTCAAAGGACAGCTTCATCACTGCACAGGTGGCCTGGCAGATCTGTGGCTCGATGGGGACCGGGGCTGTGGGAAAGGGACCAGATCAGCCCCCCGTTCCTGAGAAATGTCTCAGGTGACTCCCAGGAGTCACCCCCCCAAACCTGAAGAATCCCAGGAGCTTTGCAAACGGCTGCAGAGCTGAGACTTCCTTTCCCAGCCTCTCTAAGATGGGATGAAGGGGTGGCCTCCTTCACTCAGCTTGGGAAGGGACGTGAGGCAGTTCCTGGAGCTCACCTTTTAGCTGTGCCCCTGTCCTTTTTAAAAAATCAAAATTCTGAGACAAGGCCTCCCTCTGTTGCCCAGGCTGGAGTGCAGTGGCGTGATCTCGGATCACTGCAGCCTCAAATTCTTGGGCTCAAGCAATTCTGCTTCAGCCTCCCAAAGTGCTGGGATTACTGGAGTGAGAGTCACCGCGCCCAGCCTTGTATTAACGTTGAGGTCAACTGCCTCCAACTCCAGAAGGCAGCAGGTTTCAGGCGCCCCATCCCCAGGGGAAGTCCTGGCTGCGCCTTAACCGCGCAGGCGCCCCCCACCCCCATCCCCACCCCCACCCCCACCCCCACCCCAAGGCCAGGCACTCACCGCCACTGGCGCCGCCGCCGCCGCCGCCGCCTCCGCCTCCCCCTCCCTCGGGCCCGCCCTCCCGGGCCTGCAGCCAGTCCCAGCACGTCTCGCAGTAGGCGCGGATCTGCTCCAGCACGTGCAGGACGCGCATCTCCTTGCGCGCCAGCCCCTGGTCCGGCTGCGAGAAGACGATGTTGTGCAGCGCCGCATTGGCACGCATGCGTGCGTCCTTGGCGCCCGGTGCCCCTGGAGCCCCGGCGCGACCCCCGGCCTCGGTGCCGGTGCCGTGGAGGATTTGCAGCAGCAGCGGCAGGCAGCCCGAGCGGCGCATGGCCACGCAGCTCTCCGGCGAGCTGGACATGGCCAGCAGCGTGCGCGCCGTATCCTCCTGGTCGCGTGTCGCCAACATGGACAAGAGCCAGAAGACCACCTCCACCTGGTGGGGGGAGGGGAGGGTCACGGTCAGGGTGGGGTACCTCACCTGCCGCCGGACATCTGGAAACCTGGTCGGAGCCCTGTCCCTGTCCCACCCCAAGTGCAGCCCCATGCACACCTGGGGGACGGATCGGGGACCAGGGAGGCGGCTAACCCCCCTTACTCGGCATTCCTAGGGTGGCCGTGCACAGCCAAGGGCCTCTACAGGGATGTCTACGGTGCGCCCTGGCCCCAGCTACGGGACGCGTTTCCCCATCAACATCGCCAGGCCCCCAGCTTCTTCATGAGCTGCACTCCAGGGGGGCTTTCCTACACCCGAGGTGGTGCTGGATGGAGGCATGGGAGGGCACCACAACTGACAGGGACGCAGGTCCGATCCTCCTCAACCCAGACAACCGACTCCCACCTCACGGTAGACCCTCCCTCTCACCTTGCTGTTGCCTGGCTGAGGGGTGCCATCTTCTGGGTGTGTGGGGACCTCTGTCTCGGGATCCTCGTCCACCGGCACCGACTTCACCGCCAGCAAGGCCTGCCAGAGAGCACCAGGCTCAGGGGTACAGTCCAAGAGCACCCCAAAAAGCACCCAATTTGCCGATGCTAGCTGCTCGCCCATGATGTGGGTGGGGGCAGGCAGGACCCTAGGAGTCCTGTTCTATCTGGGCCGACACCACCCCTGGGCCCTGACTCCGCGCCACCCAGTACCTGGGGCTCCGTCTGCTGCACTCGGTCCTGTGCCTCCAGCAGCTCCTTGTCAATCTGCTCCAGGCGTGAGGCACGGATCTGCTCAGGAGAACATCAGGGCTAGGGCTGGGACTGACCCCGCCCCCAGCTCCAACCCCGCCTTCTGCCTCAGATGACTCCACCCCCGGCTCCGACCCCACCTTCTGCCTCGGATGACTGCCCCCAACTCGGATCCCTTCTCCCTGGGATGACTCCGCCCCCGGCTCCGACCCCGCCTTCTGCCTCAGATGACCCCGCCCCCAGCTCCGACCCCGCCTTCTCCCTGGGATGACTCCGCTCCCAGCTCCTACTCCACCTTTGGCCTCAGATGGCACCGCCCCCGTCTCCAACCCTGCCTCTCCCTGGGATGACCCCGCCCCTGGCTCTGACCCCGCCTTCTGCCTCGATGACCCCACTCTCGGCTCCGACCCCGCCTCTCCCTGGGATGGCCCCGCCCCTGGCTCTCACCCTGCCTTCTGCCTCGGATGACCCCACCCCTGGCTTTGACCCCGCCCCCGGCTCTGACCTGGCCTTCTGTCTCAATGACCCCACCTCTCCCTGGGACGACCCCGCCGCCCCGGGTTCTGACCCCGCCTTCTGCCTCGGATGACCCCGCCCCCGGCTCTGACCCCGCCTTCTGCCTCAGATGACCCCACCCCTGGCTCTGACTCCACCTTCTGCCTCAATGACCTCTCAGCTCCGACCCCGCCTCTCCCTGGGATGGCCCCGCCCCTGGCTCTGACCCTGCCTACTGCCTTCGATGACCCCGCCCCCGCTCCAACCCCGCCTCTCCCTGGGATGACCCTGCCTTCTGCCCCGGATGACCCCGCCCCTGCTCTAACCTCACCTCTCCCTGGGATGACCCCGCCCTGGGCTCTGACCCCGCCCCAGGCTCTAACACCGCCTTCTGCAATGACCCCGCCCTGGGCTCCAACCCCGCCGTGGGATCCGGCCCCACCTTCTGCCTCTGATGACCCCGCCCCTGGCTCTGACCCCGCCTTCTGCCTCGATGACCCCACCCTCGGCTCCGACCCCGCCTTCTGCCTCGGATGACCGTGCCCTAGGCTCCGACCCCGCCTCTCCCTGCGATGACCCCGCCCCCGGCTCTGACCCCGCCTTCTGCCTCGGGTGACCCCACCCCTAGCTCTGACCCCGCCTTCTGCCTCGATGACCCCGCCGTGGGCTCTGACCCCGCCTTCTGCCTTGGGTGACCCCGCCCCCGGCTCTGACCCCGCCTTCTGCCTCGGGTGATCCCCACCCCTGGCTCTGACCCCGCCTTCAGCCTCGATGACTCCGCCCTCGGCTCCAACCCCGCCCTGGGCTCTGACCCCGCCTTCTGCCTCGGATAACCCCACCCCTGGCTCTGACCCTGCCTTCTGCCTCGATGACCCCACCCTCGGCTCCGACCCCGCCTCTCCCTGGGATGGCCCCGCCCCCGGCTCCGACCCCGCCCCTCCCTGGGACGACCCCGCCCCCGACTCAGATCCCACCTTCTCCCCGGGATGACCCCACCCTGGGCTCTGATCTTGCCTCTCCCCGGGATGACGCCCCCCCCACCCCACCGAGCTCTGACCACGCCTTCTGCCTGGGATGACCCCCGTCCTGAGCTCTGACCCCACCTCCCTGGGATGACCCTGCCCTGGGCCCCAACCCTGCCTCTCCCTTGGATAACCCCACCTGGAAAGACTTCATCCTGGGCTCTGACCCTGCCTCTTCCTGGGATGACCTCGCCCTGGACACTGACTCTGCCTCCTCCCTGATCCAGCCCTGCGTGCACCCTAAGCCCTGCCCCCTAAGATATGACCCCACCCACTGTCTAAAGCCCTGCTTTATCATTCTAGCCCCCACCCTATCTAGCCCATCCCAGGCTCTGACTCCTCCCACGTCTCACTTGGGCTCCACCCAGAACCTAGACCTCGTCCTTCTAGGCCCCACCTATCCCCCCCCATCTGGCCGGCCCACAGGCCACGCCACCAGCCACTGTCCCATCGCACCACCCTTGTGCTCAGGCTGTGCCCTGAGCCGCCTCTGGGCACCCACCAACACCTCCAGCTTCTGGTCCCGCCTCCGGAACCAGACCCCTCCAACCCAGGAGGCCTAAAGCTCCTCCCATTACCCCAGCCCCCGCCCATGATAATCTCGGCATTCCGAGTCGCCCACCGGCACAGGACCCCGCCTACCGCCGCACCTGCGCCCGCTGCACCATCTCGTCCGAGGTGCCAAAGCGCTCCTCCATCAGCGAGCGGATGTGCTGGGCCTCGAACTCCAGCTGCTGCCGTATCAGGTCCATCTGCATCGAGAACTGCTGGGGAGAGCGGGAGGGCCACAGTGAGGAGCGCCGGGGTTGGGTCCCGTTCCTCCCCACGCCGCTTCCCGAACCCGGGGTGGCTCGGGCGCGCTGCCCCCTGGCTCCCCAGCTCTCTCACTGTCTCCACGTGCGGCAGCTCGTCCAGGCGCTTGGACAGGCCCTGCAGCTGAGAGTAGTACCAGAGCTTCTCCTTCTCCTCCTTCTCAATCTCATTCAGCAGGAAACACCTGGGGGAGAAGGTCAGGGAGGGCGGCCCCGTGTATATGTGATGTTTATTCTGATGTCCGTCATCACTTGTTGGCGCTCACTGTATGCCAAGTCTAGCAGGCAGCAAGGCAATGTCTTTCCCGTAGCACTCCCCGCGCTGGGGTAAGCAGGGGGTGCTGAAATTAACTGGCGGATGCAAACAATTAACTCAAAGGAGAGAAAGCAGTCTGGGCAACATAGCCAGAACCCCTCTCTAAAAAGAAAATGATTTTTTAAATAGCCGGTCATCCCAGCACTTTGGGAGGTCAAGGTGAGCAGATCACCTGAGGTCGGGAGTTCCAGACCAGCCTGGCCAACATGGAGAAACCCCATCTCTACTAAAAACACAAAATTAGACGGGCATGGTGGTTCACGTCTGTAATCCCAGCTACTCGGGAGGCTGAGGGAGGAGAATTGCTTGAACACGGGAGGCGGAGGTTGTGGTTAGCCAAGATCCCACCATTGCACTCTAGCCTGGGCAACAAGAATAAAACTCCGTCTCAAAAAAAAAAAAGGAGAAAGCAATTCCTTTGGAAATTCTCATCCTTGAAGATAGACTGAGGGAGCCTGTTCTGCCTCGAACACTTTTCCCATACTTGCTCACCTCCCTCCAGCTTACAAAGCAGCTTCAGGCTCAAAGTGCCCCAGGTGCAACAGAGATGTCCCTTAACCGCGTGTGGGAGACACGGCCACTCCCATTTTACAGGGCAGGAGTCAGACTGGGAGGGTTTAGGGGAGCTGAGTGAGATCCCACAGCAGAGCACAGACAACTCCATGCTGCTCTTGCAGCGGCCCCGGCCGACCCCACACGACCGGGCTGAGCAGCACAGGGTGCCTGGACCCTGCCGCCCTCTGCTGGCCCTCAGCCCATGTTTCTTGGGTCACAGCTCGCTCTCTACAAAGACTGCTTTGAGCCCCTCTGGCTCCAGGCCTGGCTGAACCCTGGCACTGGACACAGCCTGGTCCCTGGCGACGCCTGCATGTCCCGGACCCCTGGGGACGTCGCCAAGGAGCCTTTCTCTCAGCCAGGAACCTCCCCCATCCTCTTTGCACCCCCGCTGTGGTCAGCCAGGCCGTAGAGGGGGCGGAGAGCCACGTGCGGAAGAGGCTTCGAGGTGGGCGGGGTTTGCTCGGTGGGCGGTACCATATGCGAGTGGGTGGGGCGTGTGGGGTGTGGGCGGAGCCATATGAGAGTAGACGAATTAGAGGGCAGAGCCCGCCGGGGGCGGAGTCATGCGCTGGCTGACCAAGGCCCGGGTCCCACGTGCGCTCACCGTTCCCGGTCCAGTTCCTCCAGCAGCCGGATGGTGGCCCGGCTCAGCTCCCCAAAGCTGTCTTTAGAGGGCCCGGGGCCATGTACCGGGCTGCCCTCCGGGGTCCGGGCGGCAGGCTCCGGGCCCAGGGCGGGCGGCTGGAATTTGAGGTTGTACAGGCTGGTGATGTCCATCTGCAGGGCTGGATGGGCAGAGAGGGCGGAGGTCAGCGGCCCTGCCTGCCTCTCCCCGCAGCCTCCCTCGCTCCCTCCGGGCGTGGCCCCAGTGCTCACCCTTCAGCTGCTCTAGCACCTCCGTCTGTCCCGAGGACACCAACACTCGGGCCTCCTGCTCCAGCTTCCCCTGTAGATGCTTCAAGACTTCCTGCAGGGGCGGGGGGAAAAGGTGGGGAGGCATTGGCCACTGCACTGGGCTGCCGGAGGCTACCTCCTGGGACCTGAGCCACCTCCTCCATGCAGGGCCCCACCTTCATGCCCGACGTCTCTGTCTGCAGCTTGGACAGGTGGCTGGAGTTGTCCCGGAGCTCCTGCCTCAGGTGGCTGTTCTCAGCCTTCAAGGCCTCCACCTGCCGCACCAGCTGCTCGTAGGATGCCACGGAGCTCGTCATCTTCAGCTCCTGCAGCGTCTGGAATCACAGGGTCAGAGGGTTCAGCTGAGGGTCTGGGGAGGGTGCCGTGATCTCTTCCGGATGGCCCCTGACCTAAGGCCCGGCCCTCCTGCCTGATCCTGGGTTGGGATTCCCAGGCAGGAGTCACTGGTGTGGATCAGTAACAGGCCCAGGTGGTGCTGTCCAGGAATCTGGGGCACAGAGGGGCAGGTGAAGTTAGACAGGTGGCCCAGATGGGAGACAAAGGGGCCACGTACAGACACCTGAACGTCCAACTGACCAGCCGACCGACAGACAGACGGCCTCTCCTTCCCAGCCTCTAGGACACATCCTGACAGCTCGCCCAACAAACACACAGGCAGCTGGGACCGCCTAACATAGTGGGCCCACTGGCCAGCACAGCACCCCCAGGCTCACAGCCAGAGAGGGCGACAGACAGACAGACAGACAGACAGGACCCTCCCCCACAAAAGCATAGCCTGCCTAGAGACTGACAGCCAGACACGCTGGGCAGACAGACCACCAGCAGGCCCTGCCGATGGACAATAAAAACACCATGAAGGTCAGCGGGTGACACCCAAGATGTGCAGAAATGGCCGGACGGATGAACCACAGCCCACCACCATTGCCCCAGCAGCCCCACGCCCCCTCCATCGCCGGCTGGGCTCAGGGTGGCTACCTGCGTGGCCCGAACCCTCCGTGCAGCCTTCAGCTGGCCCCGGCTGGCTGCCCCATCCCTTGGCTGTGCCAGTGCCACTAGCTTCTTTGTGCCTCTGGCTGCCTTCTGGCTCCAGCCTGGCCTCCTCCCTCTGTCTAGCTGGCCAGGGCCTCCTCCCTTGGCTCGGCCCTCCCGCCTGAGCCCCCCTCACGCCCCCCTTCCCTCTTTGTTCCTTTCCCATCAGTGCTCGCCTCCTCCCTCCGCCTTTGTCTCAGATGCACCAATGGCAGCCCATGCTCTGCCACCTCCCCCTGCCAGCCTGAGCCCCCTCCTCACACCGGCCCTGTCCGGCCCACCTGCTCCTCCCCTCCCTCCTCCACCTGGCCACACACATGTATTCACCTGTCATTCATTTTCTGAACCCCAGGTGCCCCCCCATCCCCTCCCCTCCCACCTGGATGTCACCAGGGACACAGCTGGGACAGGAGTAGGGGAGGGGGCTCAGTCCCAGGTGGGAGGACGGAGTCAGGCTGTCCCCGCCTGCTGAGGGGACCCAGTGTGTGCCTCACCGTGTCATGTGGCTCATTCCTGGTCTGTCCTGAGTCTTAGGGACCACCAGTCGGCTGTTCCCAGAGGGAGAAACCGAGGCCCTGTGACACTGACCCAGTAAGGAAGGGAACACGACATCACTGGCACCCAGACCCTGCCTGGGAGGCGCTGGAAGTCCAGGCTGGAGGCCCAACACCCACCCAGCTCCGACCTCCGGCTGCCCCTCTGAGAAACCCGCAGGGCAGAAGTGGGCAAGGGCAGGGTGGGAGGGGCATAGGGACTGGAAATCAGGTGGCAGAGGCTGGCAGCCTGAGGACCACAGCTGTCACCTCCCATTCTGATATGCTGATGTCCAAGGCTGTTGGGGTCTCCACTGGGGATCAGGCCTGGGGTTGGCAGCCATATGCAGGGAGACCCTGGGGTCTGACTGGAGCCCCATGTTCCAGCTGAGGTCACCATGCCATGCCCAGCCAGGCAGGAAGAGCAGATGAAATGCAAAGCAACACGCATCTCCCTCCTGCTCCCCAAACCCAGGCCTCCCCTGCATGGCTCTTCTCAGCTGGCCCCAGTCAAGCCCCGGACACCTTCCCTCTCCCCACACTAGGTGGTCACTTCTGGATCCTCATTAGACTGAGCTGGTCCCTCCAAGCTCTGCCCAGCGGATCGTGCCTCCCCCAGCTCCTGACACCCCTCTGTTGGGACATTCCGATCAGCCTCTTTCTGGCCTCCCACAATCCCTCGTGCACAGCCAGAGGGAGCCTTAAATGTCACAAGTCAGCTCTCATTACTCCCCTGCTCAAACACCTCCCATGGCTCCCCAGTGCCCTCAGGATAAGCTCTAACTCCTCCATGCACACCACGAGTCACTTGGAAACTGGAGGCTCTCTTCTCGAGGCCTTTGCATGTGCAGTTGCCCTGGCCAGATCACCTTTTCTAACTCCTGCCCAGTAAACACACAGTACACCTTCCAGGAAGCCCTCCTGCCTGCCTTTCACGCCCAGGTTGCATCGTGTAGCCTCCCGGAGGCCTTCCTGAGAGATCACTCCCTGAAGGCACCATAGCTGGGGGCTGGTCGTATTGAGAGGGGAGTGGCTGCATTTCAGAGAAGGGAGACCCAGGGGTGGGAAGCCAGGCCCAAAGGGGCCCATCTCCTTCCTTTAATCCGAACCCCCTCTTTCCAGAGGGGGAAACTGATGCCCAGAGAGGTGCAGCAACACCCACTAAGACACACAGCAGGCCCGTCCTGAGGCCTGTCCATCCCTCCCTCCGATCACCTCCAGGAGGTCCGGATGTTGAAGCCCGCGAGTGGGTGTGTGGGCAGGACCGGATGCAGAGACGCTGACGCTCAACCCACCGGGACTCAGTTTCCCCTCCAGCTCCCACCCTGGGGAAATGGAGGGGCCAGAGTCTGATGGGCGATGGAAACCTCGACGCGAGGCGGAGCTCGCGCCCCCTGCCCTCCACCCCGAGGACAGACACCCGCTTACTTGCAGCTGGGGTGGCGGGGCGACCGGGTGTGGGGCCTCCTCCCTCTGCGCAGCTCCGCGGGCCCCACCGGAAATCCCGGCCCGGGGTGGCCTCGGAGCACAGGCTCCGGGGTCTCCGCGGCACAGGCAGGGGCTCCGGGGCGGACAAAGCCCGGTCGGGGCCTGGGCAGGCAGCGCCGCCGCTCCTACCGCTGGGCGAGACCACCGCGAGCCGGGGTAGGATGCGGGATGCAGGATGCGGGCGAGACAGCCAATCAGGGCGCGGGAAGACGGGCTGGTGCCATGGCAACAGCCAATGGCGGCCCGGGGCGGGGACCGGCGGCGGCCGCAGGGCGTCGGGCCTCCTCGCGGGCTAAGGGACTGTGGGGGGAGGGGGGCTGAAACCCCCCAAGGAAGGGGGCGCCCCGAGGACCAAGATCTCTGTATCCCCCACTTTATTGCAGGGTGCCACGGCCTCAAAATCTGCGTCTGGATTTGTAGAATTTAAGAGTAAAATATCAAATCCTGGATGTTACATCAGCATCTTGGCGGGGGAGGGGTTCCCAGGGTAGTGGCTGCGCTGGGGCCAGGCCTGCCCCCTCCCCACAGGTCCAGCCTGGCCTTGTGCAGATGCGTCAGGGTGGGACAGGGCTCAGGTCCAGGCTGGAGCTCCCTGAGGGTCCTGCCTGGTGGGCAGGCGGGAGGGGAAGAGAGACAGCCTAATGGGGAGCAGCTGGGACCCCACATCTCTCCCTGTCTCCCCAGAAGAGGGTCAGGTCCTCCTGTAACTCTGTTCCTCCCCACCCCGTTCCTCTGTTTCTGTCTCTCCCTCAGTCTGTCTCTCCATCTCTGTCTCCATGTGTCTCTGCCCCTGGTTAGTCACACACTTAATTCACCCTCATGGGCCAAAGGCCAGAGGAGGGAAGGGCCAGGGATCCCAGGAGTCCCCTTCTCCAGGGTCCTGGATCCTCCATGGGTCCCTGGAGGCTACCTGAGGGTTTAACACCCAGAGCCCAAACCTGCAGCTTGGAGCAGCCTTTTCTAAAGCTCTGGAAACAGGCTCACAGCACAGAAAAGGAGGCGGTCTGGGGTCCAGAAAACGTGATTTTTTTTTTTTTTTTTTTTTTTCCTGGGCTGAGCAGCCAGGGCAAATCATTCACGGCTGAACCCTCAGTGTCCTCCTCTGTAAAATGGGGAGGAGGCGGAAGATTCTACAAGGGCTGGGGCAGGAATGACGTGTGTGTGTGAAGGTCTGAGCGTTCCAGGCCCCGAAGCCAAGGCAGGAGAGGATGCGTGCTGTTTCCTGCTGAGCCTTGAGCTGATGACCTGAAGGCCCTGGCCTGGGCCGGCACTGCCAGGGGCCGAGAACACTTATGCCCGGCTGTCTGGGAGTCCCCAGAGCTACACACAGTTGTCCCCGGTGGGTGGGTCTGGGGAGAGAATGCATTAGGCCGACACACGGGATGTTTTCTGGAGGCTGGGAGGCTGCCCAGAGAAGTGAACAGTGGTGAGCAGGGGATAGGAGTTCCAGGCTGAGGGAAGAGCCGTGCGTGCTTGGGACACAGAGGGTGTCTGCTGGAGCCACGGGGTACGGCACATGGTGGGGCTTGGCGAGGGCAGGTCGGGGCAGGGCAGGGCAAGGCTGGAATGGGGCGGGGGATGCAAAGCCCGGGGCCCTGACTTCAGCTCAGCCTTGCGGTCCCTGTGTAACCCTCGGCATGTCTCTCTCTGGCCTCAGTTTCCAGTCTTGTTAAATGGGAGGGTGGGTTGGATAATCCCTGCCTCTCCCCCGAGTGGAACTAAGCCGTACCTCCCTGTTTAGGTTCAGATGTCTCAGCACCCCAGGCCCTTCTCAGGCAGGGGTTTGGGGGATCCAAGGTCAGCCCTGTCCTTGTATACATGGGGAAACTGAGGCCTAGGCCGGGGAACATGTTGCCTGGGTTCACCCGTGATTGCCAACAAGGTCTCCGGAGTGACTCTGAGCCACCCTCCTTATCCCGCTGGAGGTGGCCAGGACTTGGAGGGCTGAGGGTACATGAGGGCTGAGACCCCAAGACAGGGTGCCCTTGGCCCCAAATCTCCAGAACATTATGCCTCTCAACCCCCCCCCGGACACACTAAAATCCCAGACCCCGTAAATCCTTGAACCACAGCCACACTCAGACATTAGACATTTTACTGTCAAAAGAACCCCTCACCGCCCCGCTAGACCTCAGAAGGCTGAGAGAGACCTCCCCACCTCTCCCAGTGTGGAACTGGCGGCCTAGCCCAAAACCCCCTCCCAAGCTCCTCCCTGGGGTCCTCCACGCCTCCTACTGCTGCTGAGTTAAGGGGGGAGTTCCATCAAATGGTCACTCCGGATGCCCAGCCTGTGAAACCTCCCCGCAAGCCCTCAGCCTGGCACAGGGCTCACTCTTGGAGTGTCTTTGAGCCCTCTGAGTCTGACCTCGAGCTGTTCCCGGCCCCTGATGTCTCCTCTGTGCCACGGGCTGGGGGCAGAAATAGGGACGGCCCCATCTGGAGCCGGGTGGGGACCGAGGGGGGCCTGAAGGCACCAGGTCATAGCGGGAGTACAGAGACAGGCCCGTCGCGGGATGGGTGGCCAGGCAGGGCCCTGACCGGTGAGGAGGCCACTGGAGGTGGGGGAGGGGTGGGACAGGCCGGTCCAGGCCGCGCCTCGAAGCCTGATCGCCGCTGTGGGTCTCAGTTTCCCCGGCGGCGAGCCGGCAGACGTGAGTCTCCGTCAGCACTGCGGACAGCTCCCCGGCCCCTCCGCCGCGTTCCCTGCAGGCGCCTCCGCTCCGCAACGAGGCTCCAGCCCTGCTCGAGGCGTGACCTTGGGCTCCCCGCTGCACTCCCAGCCTCAGTTTCCCCTTCAATGGGGCACGTCACAGCCACGAGATGCGGAACGATCCCGGAGGCTGGAGACGCGCTGGGGTCGGGAACGGACGGATACGAACAGCAGGCGCGGCGAACGTCAGAGCAGGCCACGCGCTCGCGCCCAGAAGGGGAAACTGAGGCCCAAAGAGGCCCAGGGCGTGGCCCAGGCCCCCACCCTGCGCAGGGCTGAGCCTCTGCAGGATGCCCCCGCAACCGCCCGCGCCAACCCGGCGGGCGCAGCCTCGGTGTCGCCGCAGTGAGGAGGGGTCCGAGGGTCTACCGCTGAGGCCGAGGGCTGGGCCGGGCGAGCCCTGCGCTTGCGCAGACCCGGGGTGGGGGGGTGGTCGCTGCGGCGCGAGAGCGGGGCTCCCAGCCCCGCAAACCTCCCGAGGCGGTCTCCCCGGCAACCGTCTCCACGGCGACTGCACCAGACCCCCGACTCCGCAGCCTCCGCTCGCTGTCTCGTGCGCCCCCCGCCGCCGCGCCCGGCGTTCCCGCTGTGTGGACGCCGCCCCGCCCCGCTCCCGCGCCGCCTGGAGCCCTCCCCAGCGGCCGGACCCCCGCGCCCTACCTGGTCCCCGAAGAAGGCCGAGTGCAGCAGGCCCAGGAGCCCCAGGAGCCCCATGGAGCCGCGGCCGCCCCGGACCAGCCGCGCCCCGCCTCTCAGCCGCCAGGGTGGGGGTGCGGGCCGCGGCCCGTCTACCCTGCGCCTGCGCGCAGAGAGGGGCGGGAGGGGTCACTCCGCGCGTCTGGGGCGGGGCTCCTCCCGAAAGGGGCGAGGGCTTCCCGTGGGGTCTGGAGGCGCTCGGGGGCTGGGGAGTCTCGCGGGACCGAGGCTGCGGAAGATCCAGGAATGGGAGAGAGGGGAGGGGACTCGCGTGGGCCGAGCGGGCGAGGGAACGGGTCCGACAGCGCTGGGGAGTTCGAATGCGGCGGAAGGAGACGGGCGGAGGCTCGGCCGGAGCGTGGGCACGAGAGGTCCCACGGGGATGGGGGTCGCGGAGGGACAGAGGCGGCGGCGCCCTGCGGCTGTGGTCTGCTGCCTACGGACACTCGCGACCTGCGGAAGTTCGGGACCATCCCTGAATCAGCTCGGCGCGGCGCGCTGAGGTTCATTAGTCATTCAGCAATCACCTGCGCAAACATCGCTTGCCGGGAGCGGAGCTGGGCGCAGGGGGGCCACCGTAAGGGGGCGGCACCGCACGCAGACGTTCATGTAACACGCATTTATTAAGCACCTGCTGTATGCTGGAATCCCTGCAATAAACAAAAAGTCAAAACCCCTGCCCTTGGGAAGCTGACACGAACGAGGGCTGCAGCGGGCTGGGGAGAGAAGCCAGCGGGGCGGGCAGGGCGTAGGGAGCTGCTGGGGAGGCCGAACAGCCCTGCGCCGTGTGGGGGGAAAGGGCAGGGAGGGAGGGTCCCGGGCAGGTCGCACAGGCCCTGCGGAAGGTGGGAGCCACGATGGGCTGTGGTGAGAACAGGGCCGCGCCCGACTCGAGGGTCACGGGCGCCCACTGGCGGCTGCGGGGACAACAGGCCATGGGCGGCGCCGGGACGGCTGCGCGGGTCCAGAGTCGGAAGATGGGGCCCAGCCAGGTTGGGGGCCGAGGTGTGTTATGAATTGCGCTAAGTCCCGGGAAACCGAAGATCAAGCGGCCCACGAGAGAGGGGCGCTGCTTTAGCAGGGCGGCGGGGCAGACTGCCTCCAGCAGGTGCCTCAGCTGGAACCCGGGGAGCTGGGAGGGAGCCATGCTGCCGGCGGGCACGTGGCGGGGCCTGCAGGCTTCGGGGGCACGCAGGGCTCCTGCTCGAGAAGTCAAGGGAGGGCACCGCGTCCGCTGTAAAGTGCCGCCCAGGCGGGAGGCCGCGGGCCTGTGCCAAGCGGCGGGAACCAGGACAGGGACTGAAGGCAGCTGACCGGCAGTGCCAGGGCCAGACCGGTGCCCAGTGAGAACGGGGCTGCCCGGGACGTTATGTATGAGACCCGGCAGGTCTGGGAGGGTCCACACAGGTTCTGGTGTGGGGTGTGGGCTCAGAGGATAGAAACAGAAGCGTGCACGCCTGTAATCCCGGGAGGCCGAGACGGGTAGACCATTGGAGGTCGGGAGTTCAAGACCGGCCTGGCCGACATGGTGAAACCCCGTCTCTACTAAAAATACAAAAAATTAGGCATCTTGGCACGCGCCTCTCGTCCCCGATACTAGGGAGACCGAGGCAGGAGAATCGCTTGAACCCAGAAAACAGATTGCAGTGAGCCGAGATTGAGCCACTGCACTCCAGCCTGGCCCACAAAGCAAGACTCTGTCTCAAAGACCAAAAAAAAAAAAGCATAGATGTGGTGAGAGACCTAAGGAAAAGCCTGCCCAGGGGCCTTGTGTTGGGAGCGGTGCCCAGCAATGGCACCCCAGTTCCAGTTGGAAGCTCCCACCCCAACTCCTGGATGCCCCCCAAATGCCGTGGACCTAGAGCACCACCTGGCTGCCAAGGTGTGCCTGTGTCTGGGATGGCAGATTATCTTTTTGTTTTAAGTATGAAAATACATTTTCCCTGATTCCAGCTGCAGAAAACCAAGAGAAGTAGCCATATGTAGCCACCCGCCCCTGAAGACCGAGCGGACACGTGCTGGCCAGGCCGCTCCATGTGCAGGGAGGGCATTTTTGGACAGGAAACTTCCTTTAAAGGGCCGCAAAGTAAATTCTCAGCATCTGCCCAGCAGAATTCAGGTGTGAATGGGCACACAGCTGGGTGCCAAGAAGCTCTGCAAAAGCACGCTGAAGCCCTGAACCCGGTCCCACTCCGCTTTCTTCAGGGAGGGGCCTGGGGCTTGTTGCCACCTGGCCGCCTCCGGAGGGCAATGGGCGTGGCCCCAAACGTCTCACCTACACCTGTCGTTTGCTCTGCAGATAGGCCTGGTAGCTCAAAATCTCTTATCATTTCCATGGTTTTTTTCTTAGGCGGGGCCTCGATAAGACTGGGCACCACAGTGCACCACCACCACTTTTGACTTGCAATGCTCAGGGCTGAAAACCACCCTGCATTTGAGCATGGCATCCATTCATCTATCTGAGGTTAGAAACACCTGTTTCTAACACCTCAACCATTTTATTTTTAAGAATAATTCTGAGGCCTGGCACGGTGGCTCAAGCCTGTAATCCCAGCACTTTGGGAGGCCGAGGCGGGTGGATCATGAGATCAAGAGATCAACATGGTGAAACCCCATCTCTACTAAAAAAAAAAAATACAGAAAATTAGCTGGGCATGGTGGCGCGTGCCTACAATCCCAGCTACTCAGGAGGCTGAGACAGGAGAATTGCCTGAACCCAGGAGGCGGAGGCTGCGGTGAGCCAAGATCGCGCCATTGCACTCCAGCCTGGGTAACAAGAGCGAAACTCCGCCTAAAAAAAAAAAAAAAAAAAAAAAACAATTCTGGGCCAGACACGGTAGGCTCGTGCTCGTAACCCCAGCACTTTGGAAGGTCGAGGTGAGCGGATCATCTGAGATTGGGAGTTCGAGACCTGCCTGACCAACACAGTGAAATCCTGTCAGGTATGGTGGCACATGCCTGCAATCCCAACTACTCGGGAGGCTGAGGCACAAGAATCACTTTAACCTGGGCGGTTGTAGTGAGCTAAGATGGTGCCACTGCACTCCAGCCTGGAAGACACAGTGACACCTGGTCTCAAAAGACAAAAACAATTCCAAATGCTGACAACCGAGACAACACTGAGCCCTCCCTGGCCGTGCGTTCCCTCCATCTCCGGAAGCTGGACCTGGGGTTGTCCTGTGAAGCGCAAGTGAACCCAGCCAGGCTGCCCAGAGCCCTCTGGACACAGTCCTAATCCTGAGGGGTTCGAGGGGAAAAGCCCAGGTGGGTTCAGGGCAGCCCACAGGCAAATTTTCAAATAGTCCACGTATCTCAGGGGCTGCTGGCAAGAATCACCCCCACTTCTGACTACCCAGCAAGGTCCAGGCCCTCAAGTGGCCTCCCCAGCCTCTGTACTTCCTGACAGGGTCCGCCAATGTTTGCAGTCCAGGGTAGGGCTTGAGAGTCACAGCCGCGCGCAGCACAGCGCCCCACAGCAGCGGGCCCCTCTGCACCAGCAAGTGCTCTCAGTACCCCCCAAACTCTATATGCAGGGTGACGGTCTCCAGCTGCAGTGGACCCAAGCTTATAAAGCTGTCCCACCCACCTCTTTCCCAATCAGATCAAAACAGTGACCCACACTTTCTACGTGATGTAACTTGATTACAAATTGAGAGTTAACAACATTGGCATATTGTATTTTACTTTTTTTTTTGAGTTGTTTCGCTCTTGTTACCCAGGCTGGAGTGCAGTGGCGCAATCTCGGCTCACCGCAAACTCCGCCTCCTGGGTTCAGGCAATTCTCCTGCCTCAGCCTCCTGAGTAGCTGGGATTACAGGCACGCACAACCATGCCCAGCTAATTTTTTGTATTTTTAGTAGAGACGGGGTTTCACCTTGTTGACCAGGATGGTCTCGATCTCTTGACCTTGTGATCCACCCGCCTCGGCCTCCCAAAGTGCTGGGATTACAGGCTTGAGCCACCCCGCCCAGCCTCCAGCTAATGTTTTGTATTTTTAGTAGAGACGGGATTTCGCCATGTTGACCAGGATGGTCTCGATCTCTTGACCTCGTGATCCACCCGCCTCGGCCTCCCAAAGTGTTGGGATTACAGGTGTGAGCCACCGTGCCCGGCTGTATTTTACTTATTTAAAGATGGGGTTTCATCATGTTGGTCAGGCTGCTCTGTGCCAACTCCTGACCTCAGGTGATCCACCCGCCTTGGCATCCCAAAGTGCTGGGAATACAAGAGTGAGCCACCACACCTGGTCCGTTTTTTGTTTTTTCCTGTGACAGAGTCTCACTCTTGTCACCCAGGCTACAGTGTAATCCCTGTCTGCTGGGTTCATCAAGTGACTCTCCTGTCTGGCACACGCAACCAGCTAGGCTAATTTTTTTGTGTCTTTAGAAGTACAAATAGGGTCTCAGCGTGTTGTAAACTCCTTACCTCAGGTGATCTGCCCACCTCTGCCTCCCAAAGGGCTGGGATTACAGGTGTGAGGCACCACGCCCAGCTGCAAATTATGTTTAAATTTGAAGACAGAACCAAGTGCAGTGTTCCACGCCCACGATCCCAGCAATGGGAGGCCGTAGGAAGATGACCAGAGCCCATGATGTTGAGGTTGCAGTGAGCTGTGATCACACCACCACACTCTAGCCTGGCAACAAATAAATACAAAAAGGTGGAAGAGACATTACAGAGCAGGGCCTAAAGGGGGTTGTTGTCGGGTGTTTGAGGGTGAACTGAGGGGGGCTCCTCACATTTCCCGTGAAGCCACCTGCCTGGCTGAGCTCTCACCCTCCCATCCACTGCCGAAAGGGAGGCGCCCATCCCCTGCTGCTCTGCCAGGCGCTTAGTGGGCACCTCCCACCTCCGCTGAGCGCGACTCAGGCATTGAACCCAAGTTAGTTCTCGCCATGTTCTTCCACCCCTGTTCAGCCATCAGGGAGGTCAACAAGGGCTGGATGGTGCCTCAAGCCTAGACACGCGGTGGCCACCTTGTCCTGCTCTTTCAAGCATCCCGTGCGAAGAGGACAGGGCTGCTCAGACCATAGATGGTGCAGCCGCAGCCATGGGACATGCTGCTGTCCTGGGACATGAGACCCCAGGCTGAAAGGACAAAGCTGGCGGCAGCCATGGAGCCTGCTGGGAGGGCAGAGCCCGCAGTATGGTGTCAGTAGAGTCAGGAGCTTGTGAGGAGCTGGGCGGGCTGATGACGAGAGAGGCTCAGGTCGCCCCAAAGTTCCTGCTGCTGCTTCGCTTCCTAAGGGAATCCTCCCCCAACAAGAGATAAGAGGCCAGAAGAGAGAGCCTAGGAGAGCTGGGGACCTGAGGAGGGGTTGCACTGCGCCCA